TAACGAAGTTGACAGCTACTTCCGGTATAACCGGAAGTGCTACGTTGATGGCATTATTTTCATTGAAGAGAACATATCTGATAACCCCCGTAAACACAATTTCAGAGTCATGTTGTCTTTGGTTCTTCTGAAACGTCTAATAGGCCAATTACCGTGAAGAACCCTGTATATTCTCTGTTAAATTTACATATTAATGGTGTCTTATTGTCTGCAGATAATATAGTCTTATTTCTTAAAGATGCAACTTGAGAAAATGCAAGAGATAAGGGGGGTAATTAAAGGGTTAGGAAAAAAATAAGGTTCGGATTGTCCATTAGTAAGTTAACAATTTAGTAAAACTTCGAATTTTTACTTATACAAATACATCAGTTTTTACCCACTACTTGCTACCAAGTCGATGAACCAAATTGAGACTAAAATGGGTATACCAAATTTGTACATTTTTAAAACAATCAGAATCCACGCGGTTTACTCTACATAACGGCTTCTATCTTTTTACGCGAAGATCTAGTTGGCGGGCGAAGCAACTGTAGCATCTTAACCGATTGCTTTGGACAAAAACAATTGGTTCTTCGGCGAAATACCGTCGATAACATGCAACACTAAGCCTAACCTAAATTGCTAAAGTAGGTTAGGTGATTCGACCATTTTGATGATTAATATGCTGACAGAAAAACACACGAACGGTTTCTAGTCCGAAGGTAAGACAATCTCGGCTGTTTTTGTACGCGCCTTGTTAATTTTGGACCGTACGATTGTCTAGGCTCAACAGTTCCGCACAGTTCCACAATTTTTTTTATCGGGAAGTTGTCGTTACTGTAAAGTTTCATTATAATAACGTAGACGTTGGTTTTGTCGTTCTGCTTCTACAGTTGATACTTAATTGCCACAAAAATAATAGAAGCAAATGTAAAAGAATCTAATAACGGTATTACGGTTAAAAGGTGCGGTGTTGCCAACTTTTCGTTTTTTAGGTAAATACAGGGTGTCACCTAACGAATGTTACATACTTCAAGGGTATCATCTAGAACCCAAATGGTGTCGATTTAACCAATTTGTTCGACCGAGCATAATTTCGATTTTTGATAGGTATACATTTTTTGTTCTCTACCTATCTCTGATAGTTGCGAGTAAAAATTGAAACGTACAAAAAATTTACAGAAGAATATTCACAAAGGGTTGTAGTAAAATGAACGCCCTGTATGATTTAACCTAATTGGAACGTAATCACTTCATATTTCATGAAGAAGAACTAAGCAACAGCAAATTTTGCTCAAATCGGTGAACTGGGTTCTGAGTTAAGGAGAAAACAAGAAATAAAGAAAGAAATTTTAACACCCTGTAACTTTTTTGCGGCATTTTTCGTTTAAGCAAGTTTGGTTCAATCGACCCTTGAAGTATGTAACATTCATTAGGTAACACCCTGTATAATATAAAATGAAATTTCTTTGAAGAAAATTATGTCATTACTCAAAAATAATTCAAAAACTAAAAAAAAATAATGTTTCCCTTTACTTTTTCCAGTTGACCACGCTGTTGCCCAGATTTGACATATATTTAGTTTTATTTTAACTTGATCCTAAGAAAAAATTAAAGTGCATTGTGAAAGTTACTCTATGTTTTACAATGATAATATATCTGTCAAACCTTTCGTATAAAAAAGCTAAAATATTGATTTGCGTTGAATGTCAATAAAGTAAAAATGTGTTATTATTAACAGAGACATGTTTTTTTTTTTACTTTGGCTGACGGTATATTTTATGTATGTCGTCACGAAAAAGCATATAAATTTGAAAATTATACTTAATATAAACAAATATTCGTCTGAGCAAATCAATGAGTTGAGAGGTTCATATATCTTCATAAAAAAACTTGTCCCTATGCAATTTTTTACAAAACAAAATTTACATTTTTAATTGTCTAGTTCTAGAAATATATACATAATTTTATATGCAAAAATATATATCTTTTGTATAGATTGTGAGTAGGTTAATGTAAGTTATAAGACCTATTTTTTATTTTGTCTTACGTATATGATGGGCAATTAGTAAATTATGCTGATGTATGCAACATGAAGACACTTGCGGTTACTGACATCCTTTTAAATCAAGAATGTCATGAAGGCATACAGTGCTGCAGGTGATTGCACCGAGAAATATAATTGGTGGTTAGATTTTTCATTGGTATACTATACACTGTGTCCACCTAGTGCACGTAAGTTCAATATCTGGGTTAATAAAAGATGTAACTTAATTTTTTTTTCTACAGAGTTACCTACTTTCCCGAGCTGCACAAAATGAAAATATATATACAGGGTGTTCTGTTTTTGCTGGGCAGTTACCAACTAATTTTTTTTTAATTGGAACCTATATGTTTTATGGCATTATCGAATTCTACGTGAAAAATTAATGGGACTTTGTGTTATGATCCCTATTAAAATATTGATAGTTTTCGAGATAATCGATTTTTAATTTTTTTTCTTATGTTTCGTAACTTCTAGTAGTTGACATAATTATGATTGTATGACAGCTACAAATTTTTTTTTTTTCAGGAACTGTAGAGTGAAGATGGCCCTTTCAAAAAACGTATCAAAAGTTGACCTGCGATATACAGGGGGCAAAAAAAATCGTGCCAAACCTGATAATTTAAAATTTGAAAAATCTCGACTTTTTTAAATAGAACACCATGTGTTTTATGATTTCATTAGATACCTTTCTGTAGACCCTACAATTCTTTAATAGCATTCCCTATACTTAAGTTGCGTAGTTTTTGAAAAAAAAAAACAACATTTTTATGTAAAATACCGGATTTGCGCCCGTTCCTTTGTCGGGAAAAATATTGTAAGCGTATTTATTTTTATTAAATTTATTAATTGTCTAGCTACACTATTTAAAATAAAAATTAATAACTGAAAAACTTTGATATTTTGTTCTCTAACCTGAAAGATAAATGGGTAATAGGAAAAGTATAATAAAATAAAATAATCACATTACAGCCAAAGGAACGGGTGCAAATCCGGTATTTTACATAAAAATGTTTTTTTTGCAAAAACTACGCAACTTAGGTATAGGGAAAGCTATTAAAAATTGTAGGGTCTACAGAAAGGCATATAATGAAATCATAAAACACAGGGTGTTCTATTTGAAAAAGTCGAGATTTTTCAAATTTTAAATTATCAGGTTTGGCACGATTTTTTTTGCCCCTTGTATATCGCTGGCCAACTTTTGATACGTTTTTTGAAAGAGCCATCTTCACTCTACAGTTCCTGAAAAAAAATAATTTCTAGCTGTCATACAATCATAATTATGTTAACTACTAGAAGTGACGAAACATAAGAAAAAAAAATTAAAAGTCGATTATCTCGAAAATTATCAATATTTTAATAGTGATCATAACACAAAGTCCCGTTAATTTTTCACGTAGAATTCGGTAATGCCATAAAAAATATAGGTTTCCATTTAAAAAAATTAAGTTGGTACCTGCCCAGGAAAAACTGAACACCCTGGTATATGCAAATATATTTTCATTTTGTGTAGCTTTGACACGGTGTATAGTGTTTTTTCTACAGTTGTATATCACACGATGAGACAGATGATTATTATGTAAACACCGTATATTATCTATTTAGCAATACAAATTAAAATACATATATTCATATATTATACATCCCAGACAATTTTTTAAAGAGAACACAAATAGTTCAAGATTATACTGATTTTTATATCGCACTGTCAGATGTTTTAGAGAAGAAATGTGTCAACTGAAGTGCCAGAAATTCTACAACTTTTTTCTTGGCGGGAATACATTGTTACACAAGAGTTGTTAGGTTAGGTTAGGTAATTTTAATATTATAATTTTAATTATATTTAAATATCAAGTTCTGCAAACACCTGATGTCCCTGATACTTAATTTTATGCGTCTGGTTACGGTTACTTTAAAATATTAAAGGCAAGTAAAAAAAATATATAAACTTCTCCTTTTGTACTTGAAGAACTGTTCATGTGGTTTTAATTTTTTTTAATCAATTAAAATGCGTAATGAAGGTGCATTAATTATCCCAATGCCCTATAATTTGTCCACCTTCAAGGGTTAAAACCAGCTACAGCGCCATCTACTGCTGTTGGTTGTCAATGTAAGTTTGCAACCATCACACAGATGGCGCTAGCAAGTTTGAGGTTAACTCTTCAAAATTTTCTAATATTGAATGATGAGGAAAAAATGATTTGACTTATATTTTTATAACAAATCGTATATTAATGTATGATGAATGTCTATTATTTATCTATTTCATCGGTATAAATTTTGTGTTAAGAAATGACAATAGTTCAAATTTCTAGTACAAACCAGCACCATCTGTTGTTTTTCGCCGTCAATATAAGCTCGCTGCAGATGGCGCTAGCAACTTTGAGGTTAACTCTCTCCAACACTGTGAAATATTCAAATGGGAGGATGATATTCGGCGACAAAAAGAAAAGATAAATGCACTTTGATAATACAAATGTAGGAGGCAAGTGATTGGTATGCATACCTCGAGAAAGGCTCTTAGGGAAAGGAAGTTACGGGATTGTCACATCCGGAGGAATCTAGTAGCTATTGTTTCTCGTTTTGGGAAAGTCATGGTCTAGACAGTTCCACAAGAGATGGGGAATGATAAGGTAAGGCAAAATTCCACACAAAAGAATTGTGTGTAACAAACGAAAAGCGTGATCTAATTCTTAACTTTGTGGTGACGTAATTCCTTCAGAAGCTGCAGCAAAACGAATCTTACATATGAAGTACATCCGGTAACTGATTTTGGATTCCAGTTCCAGGATTGGGCCAAAATTCTTACTGGAATCGGCCCAATATTTACTGAAAGTTCTGTCTGCTGCTACCTGGTGGTATATTTCGTAAATTTGGAAATAGATTTGCAAATTCTATCTCAAAATAGTGGTTTTACTGATTTTTAGCTACGCTTGTGGTTAAAAAAGGTTGTTAAATCAAAACTAGCAGGACTTACCTTTCAGATCCTGGTGGTCATTCCCGTACTGGAGCCCGCGACAACAACAAGAGCATATCCTGGTTCTCTCGAAGCAGGTTACGTGCTGAACACACCGACACACTGACTGACTGAACCGGTGGTTACCTTTGCCGTGGTGTCGAAATGTACTCTCTCCGGCACTCCGGCAGTCGGTCAGTCCAGTCGGTTGCTCGCCGCGACCGAGGTTCTGACTCCTCCGCGAGGAATCAGCAGGTGAAAGGTTCAGCTGGCACCGGGTTACGAGGGTACGGCTGTTAAGAGGCCTACGGACGAAGGCTGGACCGCCCACGGACGACGAGAAAGGATACTGCGTCACGGAGGGCGTGAGGCAGACAAAGGCAAGGGTTTCTGGTGGTCGTGCAACTGGAAAAGTGATTTTTTTGAGAAAATTGTCATGAAATTTTGATATTTTGATTGTTTTTTTTTAATTTAACAACTCAAAGTAACTAACTGTCATTGAGGTTTCCCAGTCATGGTGGCAAGGCAAACTCTTAGGTAAGCCATAGCAGCTCCGGTTATGATGTGAATATAATCAGAAACTTCAAATCATTTTGAAGCTATTCTATTTGGTTTTTGGATTTTATTCTCAATAGAGCCTTCAATGTTCCATTCCGCCACCGAAGTAGACTTCCAACCCCCATGTATTTTGATGGAGGTAATGTAATAAAAATGACGCCCGTCCTTATGGGTTTTGATTAATGGGACAAAAACAAATCGAAAATCAAGAGTGGAAAATGTTCCGATTGTTTTTCTTTGCCGAGTTATTCAAAAAATTATTCAAAAAAAACATTTGGACTGGGTTATTAAATATTTATGTGGTTCAAAGCTGTATTTGTTGCAGCTGTATGTTTTTAAATGAAAACTTACCATTGCCATTGCTGCATGACGTTCCGTTAGCAGTTAGACTAAATTATTGGTTTCAACATGATGTAGCTCCATCACATTATGGTTTACGAATATAAAATTATCTGAATCAAAACTTCAGAGACAGATGGATTGGAAGAGGAGAACCATGGCCTCCTGGATCACCAGATCTGAATCTCCTAGATTTTTCTTTTGGGGTTATTTAAAAGAAAAGATTTATAATCCGTATATTCGCTGCTGTCGCGTGAATAGACCAAGAGATGCTAGAAAGAGTTCATGCTTCAATGTTGAATCGTGATAATCTTTGTCTTGAAGTAGAAGGCAACTTATTTGAATACCTTTTGTAAAAACAATTTCTATTATTTATGCACATTATGGTTTTAGTTTAATGTTTTATTATTAAAATGTTTTTCTCTATCCTTTTCAGGTTCCTTACACCCAGGTACAACCGACAATCGAAAACTATACTTATCTACTGTTGGTTATAAATTATATGTCTTGTTCGCCATAAGCACAGACCTGTTTTGAGACAAAAAAACTGGATTTTCACTTTTTTTAGTTTTTTGAATATTTTTGAATAACTCAACAATGGAAAACAATCGGAAAATTTCCCAGTCTTGATTGTCAATTCGTTTTTGTCTCCGTAATCAAATCTCAAAAGGACGGGCGTCACTTTTGGGGCACTCTGTATTGTATACATCTGAAATGACAAATATCTTCTGAGTATTGTCTTGCTGTCAGGAATGTTTACGATAACCATCAGTCTTATTTATTTATTTATTTATTTATTTATTTATTTATTTATTTAGAAGTTACAATATCCAACGGGACAAAGTCCCAATTATAGGATAAGGTAAAACAGAAAATCTTAACTAAATTAAAAAAAAAAAGACAAACTAACATTAAATATGTATAAAAGTATAAATATTATATAATATAGAGCTATCAAAATATAAAATCCAGACAAAGAACTTAAGGATAAACAATAAAAGACAAATAAAACAAATAAGCTAACTAACATATACAAGATAAGGATTACATTTACTAGACAAACAATTTTTTTATGTCACTCATACAATGAAAAAATATATCAGTCTTGTATACCCTTATACTATCATAGTTTACTATTTAATGTTAAATAACCTCAAAGGAAATAGCATAATTAGAGAAACAAGTATGTTCTAATACACCGAGCGATCCAGAATAATTGAAGCTGACGTCACATGTAAATGTACCAAAGGTATTAAAATTTACTTCCATTTGATCAAAATTACTTTCCGTTTTAATAGATTTCCGACCGACACAATCTGTCAATTCAGATACGTCTGTGTTTTCAGTATATGTTTTCATTTGAATTTATCGTTAATCTTCTAAATAATCAGTGTTTTTCAACGCAAATCGTCTGTTAACTGTTAGTTTTGTGGTAAGGAAGCAAATACTGATGGTTTCTTAGACATAAAGTACTCGAACTGTTTTTGGTTAGAAAATGGTATTTTCGTTAGAAGACGATAAATTTATTGTAGAGGCCTACTTTCGGAGTTGTCAACGAGATGAAAATGGATGGAATTATTCAATCCATTCATGTCTTTTGCAATTCCAAGAAAAGTTTCCAAATTATGAAGGCGCAGATTTTAACATTTTTGCTCAGCATGTTCGACATTTGATGACAAGATTCAGAAATACTGGCAGTGTTTGTAAAAAGAAGTCACTTGGAAGAAAGTCAGTTTTAACTGAAAATAAACTGGAGGATGTTAGAGAGCGTTTAGAAGCAGCTCAGGCGGGTAAATGTAAATATTTATAAAAAGTTAAATATCAGTATATAAAAATATTAATTATAGGAATTTTATATGGTTCAGTATACAGACCTGTAAGAAAATTACATTTACATCCATATAAGGTCTCCATAGTACAAGAACTGTTACCATCAGATAATGAAAAAAGAGTGAACTATTGTAACTGGTTTAACAACAACTTAAACGATGATAATCTTTCAGAGATAACTTTTTTTACCGATGAGGCATCAGTTCGTCTTAGTGGACACATAAATTCACAAAATTATCGTATATGGTCCGGAGAATCCACACGTATTGATGGAAACGACTTTACATCCTGTTAAAATGTAATGTATTTAGGTGAAAAATGATCGTATCTGGAATTAAAAAAGCATTTTGAAGCTCCAATATTCCAGTTTTTAGATCTTTCGGTCGAAATTTTAGGAGCTACAGTTATCATGCAATTTTAAGAAATAGCGCGACAAAAAAATTTTGCAAATTTTTTTTCACGGACCTGAAAAATTTTGTTCAGTTAAGCCATTACATGGACCAGATTGTTTATTCAGCTTCAATTTCTTTTGTCTTCAATCGTCGATATCTCGGTGACAAATGGTCGTACAGAGAATTGAAGGGCAGTTTCAGAAACTGGAATAAATTTCCTATAACATGATGATTTTCTCACATTTTTTATCGCAAATAACGTTTGATGAAAAAAAAATTTTCGAAAGTTGTTTTCTGTTTTTTTGGAAAACCTTCCGGACACTGAAGGAAACAAAATCCAACTGTTTCCATCACGATTCGGCTTTTCCGTCCTATTATCCTTCTGTTCACCAACTTTTAATTAAATTAAAATTAATTAATGTTTCGACTCCGATTCGTACCGGTTTTTGAGACAAATTTTTAATTAATTTTTCTGCAGTCTGTAATCATTTAAAAAATAGTTTTTCAAAATTACCCTTTTTCTTTAAAAAAAAATTTTTTGAATTTTTTTCCATCAATTTAAACGTCATTTGCGGTAAAAATGTGAGAAAACCTCAGACAAATTTTTTTCCATTTTAATCATAATTATGAAGTGACCCTTTAATTTTTTTAAAAGTTTGTTTGAAACAAAGAAACGGTTCGCTAGATCGAGATGAAACTTCACAGGGTTCTTCTGGGTATATCGAACTGTAAAAGTCACGCTTAACATTAGTCATTTCGTGAATATTTCTAATTTAGCCGTCAATTGTCTAAAAAACTATAAATTATCCTTTTTTTCGTTTTTTAAATTCGTGTAAAAGATGAAAAAAAAAAAATCCTAAATGTTGCAGCAGTATGTTATAGGAAACTTATTCCAGCTTTCGAAACTGTCGAATTTGCAAAATTTTATTGTCTCGCTATTCAAAATGCTTTTTTTTTATTCCCTATACGACCATTTTTCAACTAAATACAGTCTGTAAAAAATCACGGAAAAATTTCGAAAATTCTTTTCACCCTTTAATTTTTTGCATTACTTTATTCACTTAAGTTAACTTTAACCCAATAAAGCAATTATTTTAAAAATTTTTATAGGTAACATGTTCTTTTTATGTTAGAATTTAAGAAATTTCAAATCGATTTTTTATTCGTATTTCTAAATGATGAAAGTAAACGTAAATTCATTTAAAAATTGTTGCTCTTACGTTGAAGTTCGCATAAAAAAACAAGATAGATAAAGAATTGTTAAAAATTGATTCTTATGTTAGTTTTGAGGTTAATAATAATAATAATATCTAAATCATTTTTATTTAATTCATTCCTTTAACAAATTAATAAACCCCTGCTCAGATTAAATAATGCCAACATTCTGCTTTTTGTGTTATATTTCTGTGATTAAAATGAATATATGACCCTATTGCCACTACAATTAACCCGCCACTGAACGAAGTATATCACTGATACTGTTGCCAACTAGGAAGAGTGAAAATAATATGAGAGCGGCACATATATTTAACATTTACAAGAACTGATTTAGTTCTGCAAACTGACAATATGAAAGATTGAAAGATTGAAGATTGAGAGTCTTACTAGAATTTAAAGATCTAAGATAAAATGTTTCTTTATTACATTCACGCGGGTATTAACCAACCAGTTGTTCAATAAATAATGACTTTTTAATCTCAGATCTTAAATGACTTTTAAGACTTCCGAGCAGATTTAAAAAAGTTCTCTCGAAGCACTCACTTATTTACTAATACTGGTTGAATCATTTTGATGATATAATATGCATGGCTTCCAACTTGGTTCAAACCACAACACAAAATTGAAACTTCTACAATTTCATTTACAAAATTTATTTCTAAACATTTTCTAGACGTTACGAAACGACAGGAGTCTCCTTCTTCACTACAAAATTCCTCAAAACGAACACCCCTTCCAACGACTTGGGTATAACCTTGGGTTTCTTTCTCGTACTCTTCATAATCTCGAAAGTTGTGTAGTTGCAAAACTTGGTGATCTTGGTGATGGCGTACCGGACCTTGACACATTCAGCTTCAACATCGCCCACTGGAGAAGCTGCAGATTTGTTCGATTCATCAGAAACTACAGGACTGGAGACGGGAGTAGGGGGCGCAGGGGGCGTAGGACTGCAGTCACAGCACAGCATGCCGTGTTCTTTTTTAGACGGCATGGTGAGAGAATTCCTGAAAGACGAAAAATAGTAGCACAAGGAGATGTGTTATTGGTTGGTGGATATTGATTTATTTACCTGCTGCTAAATGAGCCACATTTGCATTTGGTGGCCTTGAGGCATGATTTCTTAACTGCAGGTCTTGTACAATTACTCTTTACTTTACAGCGACAGCAAGGACATGTGGCGGGATCCTTCCCATTGCTCGTAGCACCACCGCATTGAGAACATGGATAGCAAATACAATTGGGATAACTTTTATTTTCTGCCGATTGTTCAATCCTGTCGGATTGGTTCGTTGGGCTTGTCCTCGCAGTAGATCCGCCCGCCTTTAATCTGGAGTGTGTTTGTGACTCTGCGTCCGATATTGAAATCTGCGAGGTCTGAGAGCTGCCCGCCTCGAGAGAGGATCCGACAGTTTGGGAATACGAGGTACCGGTGCTTCCTGTTTGGGAATCATCGTCTCTCATACTGGGATCGGTTTGAGACTGTTGACTAGAAGCCGAGCTGGCTGTTTGGAACTCGGAAGAATTTTTCGAAGGTGAGTTCGTTTGGGATTCCCCAGTCCGACCGCTGGCACCTTCAGATTCACTATTTTCTTCTTCTTCATTCGTATCTTCCTCTTGTTCTTCCTGAACTTCACTAACTTCACCGTTGTTTATCAAAGATTGTTCCTTTTCAGATTCATTTTCTTCAGGTTCCTCTTCTATTGGTGATTCCATTGAGAAAGCCTCAAATGTTTTGTTTACAGAATAAGCTTTTGATGATTCCTTCGATATCTCCTTAACGGAATATTCTCTTGAAGAGGGACTTTTTCCGGACAATTCTTTGATATACGATTCTTGTACAGATGGTTCTTTGATAGAAGAATCCTTTACTGATGGTTCTTTTAGAGACGATTCTTTTATGGATGGTTCTTTAAGAGAAGAAGCCTGTATGGATGGTTCTTTAAGAGAAGAAGCCTGTATGGATGGGTTTTTAAGAGAAGAAGCTTGTATGGATGGTTCTTTAAGAGAATATTCCTTTACAGACAGTTCTTTGACGGAAGAGGGACTTTTTCCGGACAATTTTTTGATAGATGATTCTTGTACAGATGGTCCTCTGATAGAAGAATCCTTTACTGATGGTTCTTTTAGAGACGATTCTTTTATGGATGGTTCTTTAAGAGAAGAAGCCTGTATGGATGGTTCTTTAAGATATGATTCCTTTACAGACAGTTCTTTGACGGAAGAGGGATTTTTTCCGGTTAATTTTTTGATGGATGATTCTTGTACAGATGGTCCTTTGATAGAAGAATCCTTTACTGATGGTTCTTTTAGAGACGATTCTTTTATGGATGGTTCTTTAAGATAAGAAGCCTGTATGGATGGTTCTTTAAGAGAAGATTCCTTTACAGACAGTTCTTTGACGGAAGATTCTTTTATAGATGGCTCCTTGATTGGAGATTCCCTTATAGAAGGCTCCTTGGGAGGAAAACTCTCTATATCTGGCTCATCGATTGGTGATTCTTTAATAGACACACTTCTTGTAGAAGACTCTCTCACAGGTTCTTCATCTAGATCTACATTGGATACTAATTCCTCTTTCTCAGGTGTGTCTGTTGCGGATTGATCTTCTAGGTATAAGTTGTTTTCGGATGCTTGCCCGTCAGTGTTAGTTGGTGTAGAATCTTTAGTAGACAAGCCCGTTCCACTATCTACGAGAAGACTTTCCTGGTCGGGACGCTCTTGGCAGAACTTCATGAAGGTTTCCAAGCCTACCAGGATAGTTTCATCAGCTGTGGGTCCTAAAACGTGGGCGTAAAAGTCTGGACCGCCCACGCAAGGGTCATTTTTCGTCGAAACCCTCTTTAAACTGGATTTTTTACTTAGGATTACACTTTCTTCTTTGCTTTTCTTGGTAGGGACTTTGGGCTTGGATTTCTTTGTTGGTAGAGCGCTCTTGCTTCGTTTTTTGGACGAAGATCTGGACAAGGACTTTTGGGATTTTTTCTTTCTGCTAGATTTGCTCGAGGACTTTTCTGCGGATTTGGACTTACTTGAACTACTCGCTTGTCTTTTAGAGTCCTTTTCTACTGGTCTACTTCTTGAGCTCATGTTGTTCGATGAAACTGAATCGTATATATTATTGAGAGATCTGAAAAATTGAAAAACATTAGATGTGAGTTTATCTCTTTGCCGTACTTACCTGGATGTGATGAATTGAAGATACTACAATTTTTAGACTTGCTTTGCTTGTGGCTCAAAAACTTTTTGGTTATCAAATTTGACAAGGACATCGTTGTCAGAAGTTGTGTTTTTCTGACAGCTTGTCTCGTGTTACTATTTTATATTCGTTTTTTATTCTAATAAAGTTTAAGACAATCGTATAATATTTTTCAGCTGTGAGGGAATGGAATTTTTGAAAGTGACTGTATAGAACTTCACCCGCTCAGTAAATTCCAGATCGTAACCTTAGGTTGAATTATAATTTGTGCTTGGTCAGCCTGCAATTCTATCTGTCTATTAATAGAACAGCAATTGGTGCCAGAGATATGACCTATTAATATACAATTTTTTTTGTCACTGTAATAATTGTGCACACATCGTAATGAACACTAATTTTTGTCCGTTTGTCGAATACAAGAAAGATAAACATAGACGATACTGAATTTTCCTCAACGCGTCTACATTACTTCGTCTTCAATTAATAATTTGTTTTCGACAGTGTCTTTTATTATTATATACATCTCTTTTAATAAACATAAGAACTACTTTGTAATAAATTTAGTGTAGATACTATAGAAACAGTTTACTAATTACTACTGCATCTTCAACAGTTAATATCTAAATAACATCCTACATATATCAGAATAAAATAATTTATGTCAGCTTTTACTAGTAAGACTTTAACAGGTTACTATTAAATTTTTTAGTAGGTGTTCCAAGAAATTTCGCAATGTTCTACCACACATATTAAATTCTGTAGTCTAGTGGTGGTATTGAGATATTCGAATCGTCTTTCTCTAACAACTTTGCGGTTGCATTTGTTAAATTAGAAAAAGGTTGGATTAAATTGCTCAGATAAATCAAAGCAAGGTAATTACTTGAAAGGTCATCCGCATAGCTAGCATCGCGGATAGATTCACATCTATGGGATGGGTAATTAGAAAACTGACCAAACTTACTCAAAAATTGTTGGATCGGGGTCAGTTACGTCACGCAGGTATACATTCAAGAGTTTCTTGCAAGTATTTATTTTAAAATAAGCATATATTTTTGTGTAATATCATATTTTGTACTATGCAGCAATATTTTTCACTAATTTTAGCCTTTAGAGTTTTAAAATTGCTTTGTAACACAAATTCAGTCGGTGGAGGTCCAAAATATCGTGACTGTGGTCGTTTTCTATAAACCCCAACATTTTTCCACAAATCTACTACAAATATTGAGAAATTCTTACAAGAGGTACTAGATGAATGCTTCTTATTAATGAAGGTGAGTCATAATAATTCATTAGAAATTATATAGATTTGTTAATAATTTACTTATATTGTTTCGGGTTATTTTAATATTTGGCATATACAGGGTGTTAAAAAAGAGTGTATTTCAGGAGGTAATAGTATAAACCAAAATAAGCAGAAAAGTCTTAATAAACATAGGTCCGCAAAGTAACGGTTGCGGAGATATGGACCACTATTCGTTTGTCAAACATTTTATTTTATTAGGAATAAACCGACAAAGGAAGCTTTTAACAAACAAAAAACAAAGTTACACAAGATGTTCAAAGTGCCCTTCGTCCATTTCCAAGCAGGCACGACATCTTCGTCTCAACGATATTCGAACTCTTTCGAAAACTCCCTCCTTGGTTTGGATTTCTTGGCACTTTTGATTAATCCGTAGCTGCAGCTCTTCCAGGCTATTTACAGGAGTACCATACACTAATGTCTTCAAATATTCCCAAACAAAGAAATCTAGAGGGTTCAGATCAGGCGATCTTGGAGGCCATAAAACAGGTCCGGCCCTTCCTACCCATCTATGTGGAAAAGTTTGGTGTAAATGCTCTCTGACGGCCATGGAAAATGAGCTGGAGCACCACCATGCTGGAACCACATTTGTTGCCTCTGATTCAAAGGAATATCTTCCAAAAACTCATACAGTGTGTTCTGCAGAAAGTTGAAATAAGCAGCGCCTGTTAATCGGTTCTCCGCACACTCGTACCTGGATTCTGCTCTACCAGTGCTAGAATTTCTTCTTCTGCTCTAGGAGTGGATACCGACCTTGGTCTTCCGGATAAATGGCACTGTTTGCTCAAGGAACCGGTATCACGCAATCTTTGGTAAATTCTTCCAAACATGCGTTGTGAAGGAATCTGGCGATTTGGATAAGCGTCAACATAATGACGTCACGCTTCGGTGGCGTTCCCATTAGCACGACCATACATGAAATGCATGTCTGTTAATTCTGCGTTAGAGTAACCAGCCATAGCGAAAGAAAACTTGTGACTGAGAACAACTGTCAAATACGTACCGTTTATTTCACTAAACATCAACCAACTATTATAAGAAAATACACAACGTTTTTGCAAAATAAAAAAAAGGGCTAAAAAACATAAAACATTCCATATCTCCGCAACCGTTACTTTGCGGACCCATGTTTATTTATTTTGGTTCATACTATTACCTCCTTAAATATTGTACACTCTTTTTTTAACACCCTGTATATGGGGCATGAACAAGAAGAGAAAGATTGAATTTAACAATAGATGATATTGAGGATAAGAACAGTTTTCGAAAAGCTTAGTTTTCTGCATATAAATTTGATTTTCTTTTAGTTCTATTTGGATTCTATAGATTTTGAAAGAGCATGATGTAAAAAGTAAAACATTTTATCCTGAACCCTTATTGGACTAAAATCGTGTTTTAAAATAACCAATGTCTTAAACTACCTTTATCCAAGTCAAATTCAGAATTACTATAATTTTTTTTCAGGATGCCTGGAACATTTATTATACAGGGCGTTTTTGCAACTAGGATTTTAATATTAAAGAAATGCCAAAGCAATGCGTTTCACAAAAAATCACTCCAATAAAAGTTTATTAATAACATATAGATTTAGATTTGAAGTTAATTAAATTACGGCAAGAAAATAAATCAGTGCTTGATATCATTTCTAATGGCTTTGTGACGTTTTAATAATACTCAAAATAAGATTTCCTGTTCAGAACCGTCTAAGGCATCATAAGACAGCTTCATTTTGAAGTACATAAAAATATACAGGTAGACTATATAATTATTGAAATATAGTACACAAAATGTGAAAAAAAGCAATAGGTGCAGTACCAAGCTTACGTTTTAACACTGTTTTTAGAAATATGGAGAGAGCTATGAGGTCACCATCGTTAAGTAGTCAACTGACCATCCTGTGCAATTATCGAATCCATTTTTAAGAGTAAACAAGTCGAGTGACATAAAATAGACATTATTTTGATATTCGCATTAATAATATAAATTTAATTGGCATCGTTTCCCATATTCTCTAATTGGCAACAAATTAAATTAGCAGACAGGTGCAGACTAATAATAATTTAAACCCACTGACACGGTTTGTTTGTGTGTACATTTTTGATACATGAAAATATGTTTTCTCAAAATATATTTTACCGGTTGGACAGAATAGAGCGCTATACTAGAGATGAGCCAGTGAAGATTGTGAAAAGTCATTACAAGTACGGAGAGTATGTAGCTGAGACTGTGCGCAAATTACGTGGAATATTCTAACCATCAGAAATTAAAAAACAACCGTTTTCATGAATGAAACATTCAAACACAATGTCTTTCTTATTTTAATTTCAAATATAACCACTTTTTTAATACGGAAGTAGCAATAAAAATTGTGAAAAAACTGAATATCTCGCAAACTATAAGAGACAAACTCCTACTAGACGGACTACGTGTGTCAAAAAAAAAATCTAAATGTTCACGATAGCACTATTTACTTTTTAGTTCTGTAGTTATTATTTTTTTGTTTGAAGTTAATGAATATGAAGACGAAACGTGTTTTCATGTTAAACGAATGGTGGACAGTGGTGGTTGGGTTATGATATTTAGTTTTGGAGATATTTGATATTTAAGAATGTAAATGCCATAAAAAAATATTGAAACGATATGACTGATATCCAATAAGTGTTTATCAAAGTAGGCCTTAAATTCAAATTGAATTCGAAAAATGTGATAATGTACAAATAGGACACCCTGTACAATAGATAATAGTAGAGATCTTTTTAGTAGTGACGATACATACGCCAAATAATAGGCAACGCCAAAGTGCACATTGTCATGAAGAATTTCTCAATATTTTTACTAGATCGATTTTCGACCTATGTGCTTTGGACATAAGTGTCAAAAAATGGCTTCTTTGTCATGACCTTATTGATTGATGATTACATTTACTTGTTTTGACAGTTTGCGCAATATTTTGGTTGATATATTGCCTCTACACAAAGGGAAAGATCGTCATGGAACAGATCTTACCTCCATGTAGTTCTTTCTATGGCAGATTCTCAAAGATGAATGAAACAAAGAACCAAGAAAGAATATATTGGACAAAGATAATACTATCATTGAGGTGAATAGCAAGACTATAAAAAAAATTGCTTGTCTTAAACTGGATGAACTAGTATTACAAAACACCTTTTATAATAAGATAGTGAATTTAAAGATTCGAAGTTAAGTCGATTTTGTAATGTCTTGGCTCCATAGCAATCTTCAATCAGAAAAAGAAATTCAAAAAACGACAAAAGTACAAACATAAGTTTGCTTCTTTAAGATCAGAAGGAAATTTCCTAAAACTTTGATCTTTACCAATTTTCTCCTAGATAAGAAGACAAAAAAGATAGGTATGTAATACCTATATAATAATAATTATTATCTTTAGGCAGAATTAAAACAGAAAACTAATTTTACTATAATTTATTATCTCAATATTACGACGTTTACAATGTTAAAATTACATACTTGAATATTACTTACATTACTTATAAAATAAAAGAATACCCAGTGTCCCCCAACAGAACCCAATCCGGGTCCAACAGAGTTAATCGTCACAATCGGGCGTAGTTCTGAATTACAGAAATCGTCAAATCCTTTTTTTTTCGATAATATTGTTATGTTTAACTTTAACTTGTACTTTTTTTTATCTCCTACATATAATAACAACTTTATATATTATATAGATATACGCTTTTAAAGTGCCCCGCAATGGTACAAGTTACGGGGTCGATTTTAGAACATCTTTCAAAACTATTCTACTTAATAAGATACATAACTACTCTACGGCTCGATTATTTATGCCTGGGACATCGATAGGGAGATGCCAGGTAAGCTTAGACGCTATATTAGTTAAAACTCTTAAGGTTATGTCAGATGCCACTTTGACGTGAATAAATTGTTGTAGGCTTCAATTTTCCTGGTCCAAGCGGCATCCCTTCAAGCTCAAAGCAAAATAAAGCTATCGTAAGTTAAATATTGAGTTAAGATCTTCGTCGTTGTTGCCGGGTGACAGTCATCTATCTCTCTTAATGTTTATTCTTTTTGTTTAAGTATCGTTTTTAGCGAGGGGTGTCCAAAACGAAGTCTCCTTCTAGACAGACACCGGGGACAAGTCTTTTAGCGCGGCTGCACCGCAAAATTTAAACATATTTAAATGGAATTTAAATACTTCTTCGTTTTATACTGTCACTCTAACGCTGGATGTGTCTGTCAAAGTTGGACGAGGCGGGATTTTCGAAAATATCAACGCTTTGGTGGTAGGAGGAAGTTGCTGCTTTATTTCCGTGTTATTTCCGAAAACCGCGTTTGCTCTCAGTCCAAATCTGAAAAATAACGGGGTCTTTATATGACAAATAAAACGGCTAGGATATATTTTAATCTTAACGTCGCGTCAGAGGGTTGTCGGCACGAGCTGGGTTCTGTTAAGAGTTCTGGATATCTTTCTGACTAGACTACACCTATATAAATACAATTTGGAATAAGTCTGCGTGAAACAATGCTAACAAAAGTCTTGGTAAACGCTTAAAATTAACGAAAACTGTACAAAACTAACAGAAAAATCACTAGAAAGGTCCTGTTGCTTCCCCCGAACATTAACAGTGACTGCAATACTTCTATTTCGGTCCAACATCACCGCAATGCTAGTTAGTGAGAGATATGAAGAGAGGGATCGCAACAGGACGTTCCGGAGTCTCTACACACCTAATTTAAGTACTGAAACATACGAACATCCTGTATATTAACATTCAAAATTGTTCTGATTGTTGTCTCATAGGAATAAAAAATCCACATTAAAAGACATGCACAATACGAATGATTTAAACTACATAACAATGTTTGTCTGTAACAATTTCGTACAGTCCCGCGAGGTGTGCCTCGGGGAGGCCGACTAGGGCCCCGACGGGATGACCTTGGAGAGTTCGAAGGTGAGTACTGCGAGACTGTCTAACAACAAACTGCTGAACTGAAGGTAAACGAGGGTTAGTAGTGGGAAGATAATAATGATGAAACTGAGGAGCAGCCGGGGAAAATTCTACATGATGACGCACTTGCCCTTCTCCGCCCACGGGTTGTTCTTCTTGTCGGGCGCGTGGATCAGGGGGTCGTTCTTCTCGTTCTCCTCCACGTACTCCCTCATCCTGGAAGGAAAAATTGAGAATTAGTAAGAGAACAGTAAAAAAAAACTGTAATCATGTTTAAAAAGTGTTTCTATACAGGGTGTGGCGTGTATAATCTATAAAAATTAAACTACAGCTTCCTGATGATATTTGTAATACGAGACAGTTCTATCTTCGCGTTTTTTTGTAAATTAAATTTCATATATTCAACGAAAATAAAGGCCGACCCTGTGTTATTTATTAAAAACTTTGAAAAAATAGTAAAATAACGTTAGGTCACATTGTTAATAAATTTTTGCGGTCAACTGATTTTGTATTTGTATTGAAATCCTTATTCGCTTAATTATTAAATATTAAGCATCGTCCGTCGACCCATCAGTGTTAAAAAGTTGCAGATTCCAGACAAAAGTTTTTATTTTGTAATTCCACCATAGTGACAGTGTAATTTTTATAAAGAAGTAAAAAATAAGAATAGCGTGCCGATTGCTTAATTTTTTAGTTTGTGCACAAACTAGTTTTACAATGAACCGAGAAAACAACGCATTTACTATTTCCGAACGTGTCGATATGGTGTTAGTGTTTGGTGCAGCCGGAGAAAATGCGCTGACAACGTCACCCCCCATATGCAAAAACAATCCTACAGTGCGTTCAGCGGCTGCGAGATACGGGAAGTGTCATTTCTCGAGGAGACGGACGTGGTCAGCAAGTGAACCTTAATGTTGAAGATGCAGTGTTGGAAAATCTTGGCAAAGACCCCACAATTAGTACTCGACGACTCGCGCAGCAAGTAGAAACCTCATCTCGTACATCGTATCGTTAGGCGCCAGCTGTTCATCATCTGCAACCAGTTCAACAGATTTTACCCCCGGATTGTGAACAACGAATGCGTTTTTGCAGATATTTTTTACGGCAATGTGCCGATCAAGTAGACTTTCCTGCTTATGTTTGTGTAACAGATGAGGCGAAATTTACCCGTGATGAAGTAAATTTCCATAATATGCACATATGGGCCGATGAAAAGCCTCAGCGATGGATTGGACGCTTTGGTCCTGTGCCGTGGCCACCTCGGTCACCCGATCTAACTCCAATGGACTTTTATCTTTGGAAGAATTGCGAAACCATATACTTGAGGCTGCTGACACAATTAGGGGAATACCTGGCATTTGGGAAAATATTCGCCAAAATTGGGTGGGTCGGTGCCATGCCTGTATCCGCGCTAATGGGGATCAATTTCAACATTTTCTCTAGAAACGGTAAGTTTTCTTTCATTTTGTTCTATATGTATTTTAATGGAGTAGTGAACGCAGTTGGCAACTACAGATGCTTACGGATGTGTTTTTGCTTGCGAACTCTTGCAGTAACAGCATTTAAGATAGAATTACTATTAATTATTATAATAAGAAAATATCAGTTTTTTTGAAATATCTATTTTTCTTAGTTTGTACCCTTGCATTGAAAAAAGCAAAAATAGAACTTTTTCGTATAAGACTTTTCTATTACAAATATCGGTAGGAAGCTGTAGTTTAATTTTTATAGATTGTACACGCTACACCCTGTATAAATCTACAAAAAAGTGTATTGTTTTATTGTAGTAAAATTTAATTGAATGTTACAAATTATGTCTATCTTCGTAGTTGTGACAAAAAATCGTATACAGGGTGTTCCAAAAACACCAGAATACTCCGATAACTTTTAGGATTGAGTCCCACAAAAAAAGTTCAACTTGAAAATACTCTATTTTTTTATACCAGCAATCGACATAGCGCCAAATTTTACATCCGAAAATGAGATAAAAAAATGTTTCCTCTTTGCTTTTGGAGATCATTTAGAGGAACGGGTAGTGGTGATGCAGAATATTATTGCCATTTATCAGCTGATTAGATATCCGCCTCCAGACTTTCATCTTTCATCAAATTTTAATTAAACAACCCCACAATTTTTTTTTCTGTACATCGGACTAGACCACTATAATCCTTATGTTTTCGAGGTCAGTGAGTCCGAGTTCGATGTTCGTTTGACCTTGTCTGGTCAAGTTAAAGGTTATTTCAAGGTCAAACCGAGAAAAATCCCCTATGGTGGGGACAACCATGGTTATTATATGTTTTTGGGGTCGCCGAGTTCGATTTCGAGGTCTGTTTGGCCTTGTTAAGTGAGGTTCAAGGTCATTATAAGGTCAATCCAAGGTCAAACTGAGAAAAATCCATTTGATCTTGTTGCATCAGGGTCAATGTTATTTGAAAGCTACCTAATTTTAAAACCTATTAGTTGCCTCGCTCATCTATAATGGACCTAAATACTCTCAACATTCAGGAAGAAAGGTTCTGCATAGTTGCCGTGCTTGAAGTTGAGGGAGAACTTTGGTAGACAGTTGAGTATTATATGGTACATGTCAACAATATAGTAATATTCGTTTCGCATTCTATGGTGAAAGTTGAGTATTCACATTCCATTAACGATAATTTTTTTTATAACGTACGTAATGAAATTTAGACTGCTCGGATATCTCTGCATTAATGGACATAAAATATCTTTACTGACAAGCCTAACTCCATTAAAATATTAATCATATTAAAATTATCAATCATCTAAGTAAAAGCCTCATTTCTATGATGGTTCTAATAGAGCCTTTACAATTCTGCTATCGTGAAGGATACTGGAAACAATGACAACTGCTCTGAAAGGAGATGTGTAGAATGATTAACTCGATATAGTACGGTGTAAAAATGTCTTATTTATTGGTATTCGTTAGTTGCAAAATGTCAGTGACATGTAAAGAGATCCAAATTCGTTCGTTGACTGGACTTGAATACTGTTTATGTCCTACAATTACATGTGCTGAATTTGTAACTTCAGTTAAAAATGTGTGTGTATTGCAAAGATTCTATGTACATTTTGTACAACTTTTGCAAAATTCTGTACGTTTTATTTAGTTTTATGTGTACCACAGTTAGTAAATATATTCTAAGTCAACCTACTACAGTTTTTTTGTCGCTTCCAATATAGCGCGACATGTCCCTATTTAAATCTCAATGTTGACACAACAAACAACCCCTTTCTATCAAAACACCCGACAGTACAGCATGTTGGGAGAGCATGGACCGGGATTAAAACCAAATCCATGAAACTCTAAACTCGCCCGAAATATTTCAATCAAAGTTGCACTAGAATCTCACCCACCACCACAAGCTGTTGGGGACGCTAGGCAGTAAATCCGGGGCAGGTGCCAGTGGCGCAGCTACGAGGGGTAGTATGGGAGTAGATTTTGTGCATTCTGTATTATTGCAGATGTGTGGAAGTGTTCAAATTTTGTGAATCAACGGTTCATATACAAATCAAACTAAATATTTTTGCGCAGATTCAGTGCGTTGCGTTAATATTATTTTAAATAAAGTCACTATATTTAACCCTGAGAGGTCACACTTGGGGTGGGCCATCTTAAAGGTCCCACTAGTGCCAATTGTTATTCATTTGTTAAGGAAAACAACGTATTTATATCAAAACTGGGGTAAAATTATCCGAAAAATGGAATGCGGTGATTAGTTCTGAAAAAAAAAATTTGTTAATAAAAATATACGATTGAAAAATTTTTTTTCGAAATATGACTTTAATTTTGGCTCATTTTCTGTAAATTGATGTTTATTTTGCGCTCTTTTGTATAAAAATATTAATTTAAAGAATATTATCCATAAATATTGACAAATACAAGTACTAGTATTATTGAAATAATATGTCCAATTAAATTAATAACAAAAATGTTATTTCATCACAGTTTTTGAAAAAATAATTTTGCGTTAACTATAATTGAAATGCGTGATATAGCGATGTGCATTTTTTATTTGTTTTTGCTTTTTTCATCGTGAAACTTTTGGTTAGGCAAAAATAGTTGAGCAAAAATGACCCCTTATTGAATTTACTTAATTATTTTTCGCCTCGTCGTACCCCCGTCGGCGCACGCCACTGGACGGTGTGTCTCGGCAGGAGTTTGGTTTGGCGAAAAGCCAAAAGGCAGCATCCGCGCGGTGGATTTTTCTTATTCTGTGTCACGCAGCTTATGGGGGATGCAGCCCACATCGTAAATATTTAGGACACCTCGAAGAGGGATCTTATTAAAAATAGACGTGTAGTATCAGGGGATGTCGCGACTCTGTCCCCGAGGATATTAACACAAGATTTCATACCCGTAATCGAGCTGACAGGAGGCGATCGGCGGGAAGAAGAAGGTCTGGGAGGAATATTTTAGCGACGCCGCTAAGTAAATGTTAGATGAGGTGGTTGCGCTGTTTTTAAAAGGGAGGTGGCTTAGAAAGTTAAATTTTCGTATTCCGCCTAGTTAAAAATTACTATATAAAAATTAGTTTTAAAACAAATTTATTTCTCAAATTTTCAATTACTGAAAAATTACTTGTCAAGAAACTACAGTGCCTTTGTTTTGGCGCTCAGTAAATTTGATTTTCTTAAGGAGGTATATCGGCGTCCGAGGGAAGTGAGAAGCGCAGGGGGAGTCCTATGCTTTTCTTATGGGACTAAAGGCCGCTGCCAACTTGAAAAAAATAGATTCTATTGAAATTATTTGCGATAAACATTATCTATATAGCAAAAAAATCTACTCATATGCACATAGCATACATACTGACTAATTAACAATATAAAAATATCATATTTAAGTAGTTTTAAATTATATTTAATGAACGCATAAAGACTATGTAGATGTGGCAACAGCGCTAATAATTGACTAGCAGTTGTACACACTGCGCACCTACAGACCTCGGACATCGGAGATATTGCGCGTCAAATTCGGGTAAAGATGCGTACGCGTTCAAAAATGTATTGTGTGTAATCTATGTAAAATAATTATTATATATAGCAAATATATCGTATTATCCTCGAGAAGATTTGTATCCTTGATTTAAAATCCGTAAATCATGTGAACTGGTAAAACAACGAGAATTATATTAATTTAGTTCTAAAGAAATGAAATGAAATCGTTTGAGTCAAAGAAACTGTTGGATGCAATTTTGAAG